CCCTGCTCCCCTGCTCCCCTGCTCCCCTGCTCCCCTGCTCATTGACGGGCAGGTAAGCAGGCAGGGCGGCTGCTCATCGGCCGGGCTGTGTTTACCCAGCGCTGATAATCCCGGCCCAGGCACTGCAGGCTGCTCTCGCAGGGATATCGGCAGGTTGGGGGGCACGGGGCTTTGCTCAGCATCACTCTCCAGCTGGGAAGGGGCACGGTGCTGCACCGGGACCCCGCTGCCGCCACAAGCTGCCTTGCTCTGCCCTGCTCCTCGGGCTGGGGACGCACCGAGGGACAGACACCCTGCTGCCACGGGCGCTCCGCCATGGTCGGCAGCCGGCGACCGGCTTTGATCTGTGGCCTGGCCCGAGGAAGGGAGATGAAGAGCAAGAGGATGCAACTTTCCCACCCTCTGCTCAACCCTGCCGTGACAAAACAGGAAACGTGACGTTTATTATAAACTCCTGTTTATTCACCCCGAAGAAGAAAAAATCAGGAGGGCAAAGGGCCAGGGAGCATCTGTGACCAACGCGAGGGTTTCTGTGCGACCCACCGGTCCTGTCTCGGCTACGGCTCCTGAAGAGGGAGCAGGTGTGGGGTCAGGGAGCTGTGTGGGGCCCTCCGCTCGCCACCCCATGGAGGAAGAGACCCCATGAGCTCTGCCCGGCTCGGGCACAGTAGCCTCATCCCTGCATGAACCACGGAGCAGGAACCCTAGCAAGGAGGGGGAAAGCAACGTGAAGCTGGAGTGCACTGACCTTGGCAGCATCCTTCTCCTCCTCCTCTTCTTCCTTGTCCTTGAGCAGCTGGCTCTCTTCCCCCTGTGCAGCCGCCTCCTCTCCCACGCAGTCTTTAACCTGAAAAAGAGAGGCTGACCCATGTCCCCTGCCCCACCGCAGGGAGTGCTGCGGTTGTGTTCGTCCCGTCCCCGGTACCTTGCCACGCAGGCGCTGGGTCTCTGCCTGCGCCCTCCTCTGCAGCTCCACTTCGATGACCTCGAAGAACTCCCTGCGGGCACGGTTGAGCACCTCATGGGGACTCTCCACCGGCTTCTCTTCTACCTCTGTCTCCTGGGCCTCTGACCTGGCGCGCTCCTTCAGCCGCAGCTCCCGG